AGATTTTTGGCAGACATTTTTACAAAAAATTTCATTTTTTTTTTTTTTTTCAAATAATTCTAGTCGAAAAAAACCTTCGTACAAGTCTTAAAGAATTGTATCTCAAAGACCTGTATTATATTTCATGAATATCGGTTGAGTAGTTGTCGATAAATCTTGCCGACCGACCTCAAATACATAGTTTCGAGAAAAACGCGCTAAAAAAATTTTAGTGACAATGAAAGTGGAAAAGAAGTGTACAAGTTCTCAAGGCTGTATCTCCGAAAATATTACTCGTATCCACCTGAAAATAACAATATGAACAATATTCTGGAGGTGTCGTAGAACTTAATAAAACATTAGATTTTTCGAAATACGTAAACCCATGTAATCCTTTAAATAATGCATTATGTGCGCCAAATAAACAGATTTAAAAAAGATTTATATCCGAGATGTTTTTTGTTGCCATCTATTTGGTAAACTTGTGCTAAATAATTAAAATACTTAAAAAATCTTGGATTTCACTCAAATACATATACATATGTGTATATCGACTACAGTAATTTCAAACGAACCATGGAGTTCCTAAAGTAGTATAGTATAAGGTGAGTTTCAAAGCAAACAGGCCTTTTTGAATCTAGAGCCCCCTGGTATCGCCATCTATATATGGATTTGTGCGTTAAAGTCTGCAAGAATCAGTGAAAATTTCATGACATTTCATCCATTGAAAGTGAAGTTATTGCGTTTTAAGTGTCCGTATGTTTGTGTTAACAACATTAAATTTTGTTTTAAAATTCGTAAAATTTTTACCGATTGATGAACAAGTAGCAGAGTGCACGAATCGTTTCAACGTTTCCAAAGTGGTCGTGAGGAAAATCCGTGATCACCAGAAATTCGTGTGCGAAACTGTGCGTGAATCCATCAAAATCTGCCGAAATCTTCAATAAAATTCAGGAAAATTTAATTGAACATCTCCAAAACATCGATTTATCACATTTTGACCGAACATTTGGGTTTACGAAATGTGTGTGCACGGTTTCTTCAGCACGTATTGACTGACGACCAAAAATTGCTCAGAAACCAATATTCGAAGGATGATTATTTGACCAAGAATCACATTTTAACCATCAACCACTCCCTGTATTCACCAATACATTTGCCCATGAAAGGAAAGCGTTGTGCAGACGTAGAGGCTATTCAAAAGGCTTGTACCGGCATACTGGCGGCCATACCCGCCAACGAGCTAAAATACTCGTTCGACATGCTTTTGGATCGTGCAAAAGCTGTATTGAAGCCGAAGGACTATGTTGTATGAAATAAATTGATTTTGCCGAAAAAACCATTTGTTCTGTTTTTTTAAGTCCTGTATAAGTATATATGTACACACCTTGTATATATCGGTGAAAATCCTAATTCATGATCAGAATTCAAGTAAATAGAACGATCGGGTGGTAGCAGCAGCTGTAAGGACATAAGAAAATTAACTTTATAATTTTAATATATCTAAACATATATATTTCATTATGAATAAATATTATATTTAGCATTGAGCGTAATAAAACCCCTCTTTTTCTCATCATAATTTAGCCACATCAATAAATAGCTAAAGTAAATCGGTAAAAAGAATGCAAATCCGATGATAAAGTTACAATATATATAACATAAATTTCAGCAAACAAAAACAAAAAAAGTTTATTACATCATCTACATTGCAAGAAATAAATAGAAGCCAACACATATTCATATATTGCATGTACATATATGTTGCAATAAAACTCAACTATAACAACAAGAAATATCAGCAATAAAAATAGCTACACTTACAACAACAGCGCAAAAATGTCGACAACACGCACCTCGGACTGTCGTAAATTTTCACCAAATATCTTCAATAAAAGCAAATGCAGTCACTGTTTTCGTCAGCGCGAGGAACATAGCGCCGCCGCCTTGGAATGTAATCGGGTATGTCAGTTGCATCTATATTTAAATATTCAAAATACTAAACACAAACAGATATACATATCTTTTAGGTACTACCAGTACATAAAATATTAAAATTATACCGTTGTGTATATACATTTATATATATGTAAAAATGCATACATATGCAGTTCAGTTTTTGGGGCCTGGCGCGCCTGCATAAATAACGCCATACATCACTGTTCTCATATTATAAATAGAAATTTCATAGTCATACGTATGTATGCATGCATGCCACTGCTTAAAGTACCGGCTAAGCCCGGTAAACAATATTAACTTCATGCCGCATATAAAATAGCTTGTGTATGCCACATAAAAAAGAGTCAGAGAAATTTATAGCAGAAAGAAGTAAATATATACATATGTGCATACATACAAGCCACTACATATCATTAACAAAACAAATACAACGAAACGGTGCCTAGTTCTGTGCAACATGCCGACCGGCCTTGCTATCGTTGCATATATAATGAGTTAAAATTCTATCGCTTTGTTATTCTAATCAAATGTTTTATATCAGTTTTTATTTCTTCTTCATAGCTTTTCCGTTTTATTCTTCTTTTTGATGTTTACCTTCTGACTTAATTTTCCCTGCACAAACCAACACACACGTGCTACATATTTAAGTATGACAGCGTTGCTCTTTTAATTTGAAGCTTTTGATTTTTTCCTATTTCTTTAATTTTTATCATAATGTGGTATACATACATATATTTATGTGTCACTGCGTTTTGGAAAATTTTTAGCTTGGTTTATTTTCTAAGCGGTACAGCTCAGTATTATGCAGAAGACTACTTTAACTATTACATAGTACTCAAAGCTAGTTGCATATTATTAGCTCATACAAAGTTTTTTCATACACATGTGGAAGCAAAAGTTGATCCATATGTGTATGTATGCACTCTATTAACGACTCCGACTTTTAAAAATCATTTCCATTATGTGTGACTTCGAACAAAATTTGTAATATCGTACGAATAATAGACTACTCTTGAGCCTATTCTACTGCAATCACTACGATTCAATTAATTCTCCATCTTTAGCTATAAGCCAAACTGCAGCCCATAATTAAAGTTACTGTCGTGGCCATAATCGGCTCATAGAGTACTGTTATGCTAAGTTTCGTCAAGGATGATTTTTAGTTCGTTCAATAAAATCGCTGTAGTCGCCAGACATACTTGACACTCTTTAGATAACCTTGTAGTGATATATTGCCGAAGTGCCTAATACTATATCCTAAACAAAACGTGTTCTGTTGATCCATAAGAGACGTTCGTAAACTTTAAAATCTCAAAAGTTTAATTTGTTAAGAATAATCTATTTAATATGGTTAAGTTTTCAAAATAACGTTAGAGATTATTTACCTGCTTTTGTGGGTGAATATAGACTAATTTTACACTATCCGAATGAAATTTCAGTGAGTTATTTATTTATATGCTTCATTCCATATTGATATTCGTAAAACTTATATGTTATCCTAATTGCGTAAATTTGCAAGAACCCATAACTATCCCACTCTCTATCTAATACAACTGACGACCTACACTCACTGTTATTAAAAATGGACTTAACTTTCTAATAATAAGGTGTTTTGCTATTATATACTACTACCAAAGTACTAGATTTTGTTTCCTTTCCTAAGGAAAAACGTCTTGTCTAAACACACCACGCTAGACAATGTCAAACCATCAACATCTTAGTAGGTTTTGTACTGTTTAATTTGTTTGAAAAATTGTTGATCCCTCCATTTGTCGAATAAATCAAGGTTACTTACCATTGCAGGAGAAAATCTATAAAATGCAAAAACAATTTACTGATAGAACTAAAGTATAAATCCATACCTAAAATTGTAACATAAATTTGCTAATAATAACTTTTCTGCTTTTTTACGTCGTCCAAAAACTTTGCAGCAAAAATATGATCTTAAATGTATAATTGCTGTTTTACATTTTAGAAAAGTAATTATATACATATTTAAATAAAGTATGCTAATATTTACTTTAATTTCTTTCCTGAGGCAATGATTATCTTAGAAACTTACTATACACAGTATTAATATATGTACACGTGCGGAACGTGTAAGCTAGCAACAGATGTATGTAAATTCATTTAAAAACTAAAAACTAAAAAAAAAACCTGTTTTTAGTACTAAAAAAATAGCTAGTTGGTTAAATATCAAGCTCACAAGACATATGTAGTTGTCAAAACTAAAGTTGCGAAATAGAGATGACAAGCGATAAAGAGCGAACAAAAATGCTGAAAGGGTTCTTAAAAGACGAAAAACCTTATTAATTCCACAAAACACAGTCAAACTTACATATACATACATGTATATATTAAAAGCCATTAAAGTAGGTTTTTCATAGAGCAGCGTATAAGCTTAAATGTTTTTTAAGCGTAAGCTGTATGTAATATAATGTTTTCTAAATTGTTAAGATCTGCGATGACTTCTGTCATTAAATAGTTTGCATTCAATAACTATAATAATAATGATATCTTTTGGACCTCTTTGGTATAACAAGATTGAAAGTTAGAAATAGATAACTTCAACTTGTTTACTATAACCATATTTCTTTGTTGGCGAAAATCTATGTCAAAGTTCGTTATTTCTGTTTCTTTCAAATTAGGCAGACGTAAAAAATAGATACGTTCAAACAATTGGAGAAGTGTTTGCGATATTATTTTTAATAAATAAAATGAACATCTTATCGATTACAAAAGTCTACATCCACAATTCATAAAACTGTCAACGAATTTGTGAAATTTTCTCTCGTATATCTTTATATATTACAAAAATCAGTAATTTTCTTCTTCGGACGTAGACAACGCTTACACGGTTATAGCCGACGTAAGAACAGCGCTTCAGTCGTCTCTGCCTTTCGCTATTTAGTGCCAATTCGAGATGCCAGGTGCATCCAGTATCTTCTCCACCTAATCTCTCCAATGGAGTGGAGGTGTTCCTCTTCCTCTGCTTTCCCCGGCGGGTACTGCGTCGAATACTTTTCATTTAGTCAGCGTGGCCGCTGTTTCTTAATTCGCTAAAATATATCAATGCCATCGTATATCTCGTACAGCTCATAGTTCCATCGAATGCGATATTCCCGCTGCCAATGCGTAAAGGACCATACATCTTCTACAGAACCTTTCTCTTGAAACCTCGTAACGTCGACTCATAGGATGTTGTCATCGTCCATATTTCAAGACGGGGTTAATGAGTGACTTGTAGCGTTTGGCTATTGTTCGACCAGAAAGGACTTTTCTTCTCAATTGCCCACAGTCCGAAATGGCACATGTGGGCAAACTTATTCTGCGTTGGATTTCGAGGCTAACATTGCTGTTGCCATTAAGACTGGTTCCAAAGTAGACGAAATTATCTATGACTTCGAAGTTATGAATGTCAGCAGTGACGTGGGAGCCAAGTCGCGAATACAGAACCCTCACGATAAGAAATATCCTTGTCTAAAGTCACACTGATAAAGTTCAATTAGTTTATGACGGCAGGCTTCAACCTTTCAAACACTAAGCTCTATAAGACCTTATATGCGATAATAAGGAGAGTCATCCCCAATTTCCGAGCGTTACCACAGCTTCTCAATCGATTAAAACTCACGCATTTCTCTTTGTACTTTTGTCTACATATGGGTCTCACTCGTTATGTGGTCGTCTACAATATTGCGAGCCGCTTTCTCTCCATTGTGACACGACAGTCGTCATCGCACCAGCTGTTCTTTCGACTTTTCCGAAAATAAAAAGTCGAGTAGAAAACCGTTCCGCTGTCGGTTGTGATTGTAGCTTCTTGACGTCGTACCTTCCGTGTATTTGTTGACAGGCGTGCTTTGCTATACAGAAGCGGGCGGCTATCTTCGCTACAACAAGATGGTGGTCCAAGTCGATGTTGGGTCCCCGGGTTGTATGCGCATCAAGGTCACTGCAGACATGTCGTCCCTCAACCACAACATAATCGATCTGGTTTTGAACTTTTCGATTCGGAAACCGCCAAGTAGCTTGATGCATTTCCTTGTGCTGGAAAGCTAGTACTGCAGACAACCATATTTCGGGACTATTTCGTAAGGGTAGGTTCTACTTTGGTTATCGATACTCGTCGGCTATAATTAAAAATATTATAATTTTGTTGAAAACTGGGATGCAACGACTGCGGCCATCATATTCGATATGATATTCATAGCATAAGCTACAAATAGGAATTGTTTAAGGGCGTTCAATTAATTAATTTTTTATTTCTAAAAATTTTTTAAATCTAAAAAAATTTCACATATTTGGTACCCGTGCTTAGTTTAAAGTAATTTTTAATTAAATAAAACTAGAAAAAACGCAACTGTCCATGGTAAGATTTCCGCTACTACCATTCCTTTTCGCTTGGTCTTGTGATGAACTGATTATCTCGTGAAGTAATTGAGAAAGTGCTGGATAAAGTCATTGATCTCATGAACAGTTATTTCACTTCGAAAGAAATAAACACAAAATAGCAAACCGAGGAAAGCAAACGGAAAACAAATGAAATAAAATGAGATTGAAGGAAATAATAGTGGAAGCTTCATAAGTTTCCACACAATACTTAACGAGTAGGTACTGCCACTACAGCCATGGCATTTGCAATATAACAACAATTAGTTGCACCAATCAATGCTGTGCATTGAACCCAAACGCGAAACCGCACCAATGATTCACCAACAACAACAACATGAACAACAGCAATAACAACAATGGCAAGTGATGCACCCAGCGTAAGCAAACATAAACACAGGCCGCTGCATGTGTGTGTGTGTGGCATATTACAGCTGCATTGGTTGCAAGCAATTGAGGTGTTGAGGAAAGCAGCGGTCGGGGCAGTTGGAGGCAAGAAACAGCTTTAACAATTTATGTTCTCACTTTTATTGCGGCGTAAGAACGCTAGAACTTTGCACAAAGCACCAACAACAAAAACAACAACATGTATACCGCTTTGTGTACAAAGTATTACT